TTTTTTCCTTATAGTCACTCTGCATCTTCCTTGTTTCAACCTACGCCTTTTGTCTCTGGAGCGTTCCCACCACACCACACCAAAAGCCTGGCTCCATCACCGCAACACCCTCCCCATATGTACTCGGGGCTGCTCTAAGGTGCCCCAGAGCTGCCACTTCTCCAGGTTCAGCTCACCCAGCCCCCTCTCACAGGCCTCCTGTCCCTGACTTGGTGACTCTCAAATGAACTTGCCCCAGCTTACTGATGTTTTTCCTGTACCTGGGGGAGGGGGTGGCAAAACCTGACATAGTAATTGCACTCAAATATTGAAGTTGCGCCTTGTGATAGAAAACAGCAGCAGATGCAAAGTGGATGTCTCACTTTTTGGTAACTCTTGGTTCAGAAAAAAATACATATGCTCTCCTCTCATTCATCCGTCTGAAAACATGGCTAATAATGGAAGTTGCTTTCATGTTCTGAAAGCGAACTGCTCCCAGCTAAGAGGTAGCAAAGTAGTTCAGACCTCCTAAGCCCCACTAAACAGAATAGAGAAGTTTCACTGAAGAGAAATCTGTCCCCATTAAAGCCAGCTAAAATATCGCTTTTGATTTACAGAGGAGCCAGAATATGATTCTTTGCAACTTCTCAACAGCTGAAGTATCAATTATCAAAATTATCATAAAAAGCAAGGCAATGTTCAATGTTACTGACATATTCCCACTACCATCAGGTATTACAAATGTTTCAACATACACAGGAGAGGTGGAGAGGCCAACTAGGTAGCTACTGGTACAGCATTAATGTTCATTGGCCTTAAAAGCAATGAGCACAGTGAAAAACATAAAATACGATTTAATTATGAAGAATTTCTGCAGAAAGCAAGTATGTAATATCAAACAAAAGGTGTATGTGTTGCATGTATCTGCAGACACTTTGCTCCAAAGAGAGTGCAAAGCACAATGTAAAATCCTGAATAGCACCAGTGAAGGGAAAGAAGCTAAGTGAAGAAATCCAGAATCCATTCTGAAGAATGGTGAGGTGAGGGAGAAATGTAAAGAGTTAATTTTAATATGCCAAAAATACAATATGTCAGAACATATTGATCTGCAAGTTCTGAAAATCGGCGGTGAATGTCTGTACTATGGGAAAAATTACAATTTGTTTCAATAGAGTTTTTTAAGAAAAAAAAGGTAGATGTTGCAAGTAGCTGCACTTAAATTGTTTGAGCTATTTAAAATACTGGAAGGGAAGTTTTCAAGAAGTTTCAAGTCAACATTTGACTTTCCTTAGGTATTCAAAAATCAAGAGCAGTTCTATTCCACAGAATTCTTCTTTAAAAAAAAAGCCCTCAGTCTAAGTAACATGTTTGCAATATTAGGGACTTGGCTGAACCTGAGATTTGTCCTTACAGAACGACAAAGGGATTGCAAGATTGTTTGTATTGTTTGCCTTGCAAGAAGAGCTGGAGGTGAGGAAGGAGAACAGGCCACCTACAGCCCAACATTAGGTGCGTTAATGACCTGTTTTGGTTTCGGCTGCCGCCGGCAACAAAAGCGCCACGCGGCCCCCACTCCCCCCGCCAGCGTGCGGAGGAGAATGAAAAGAAACAGGCAGAAAGTGGTGGGTGGGGATAAGGGCAGTTTAACAGAACAGTAAACAGAGGGAAACAGGAACAACAACGGTACAAATAAGGAGAAAACACAACAATGAACCGCACGACCCAGAGAGCCGCTCTCCCGAAACAGGACCAGCGCCGCGCCCCCCAAGCCGCGAGTGAGGTCCTGCCGTGCCGCCCCCCTCACCGGAACCCAGCGTGCA